ATATTTAGTTCAGCAGAAATTTTAACCAGTAGCAAACGTTCTACAAAAAGGTCTTAATTGCTCAAAATGTCAAATCTTATTGTATCCTTTACTGTAGGTAGTGAGTAGAATATATTTAGCGATAGCTTTTATGGATGTTTTATAATATTTATTAATATTTTTAAATATTATAGGACATGATGTATCCATAAAAGTTATGGATAAATAAATTGTTTGCCATGCAAAGCTATAAATTACACATAGTGAGTAGAATTTTGGCTGCATTAATTGGATGATTGGCCATGTATTCAAGCAATTTTACCCTTTGCTAATTGACACATAGTTTGAAACAACAGAATATGACTGGTATTTAGACTATTCAGAGAACATTTAGAGCGCAGGAAGTAATGCTTATTTGGGAATTTAAAATCTGGAGTCTGAAGTCTGAAGTCTGAACAGTGCGATTTTTAGCACTTCGGAGGCTATTATATCCTGTTTTTTGTGATTTAATACGGTAATTACGTGCTGTTACCATTCAATATTTATGAGATTTCGTATACTTTATTACCTCAGGGGTGACAGTACCAACAGCACTGGTAGTTTCATAGTCACCAAAATTTTGATCCAAATCGATCGAAGTGTCATCATGAACGTCTGGTTCGTCTACTTCAGCAGAAAAGGAAGCGCCAGTTACTTTCGATCTTCTTTTCTGCCTGTGTTTATCTTTCTTCTTGTACTTCAACTTTGCAAATTATCCAAATCGTATTTCCCTTTTTTTTCTCCAGAAACCTTTACTTTAATGTTGTCAATGTTTACACATTGTGAGTTTTTGCCAGCCACGTTGTTTTCGGTACTTGGATGTCTCGTTACCAGACTCCAAGAATACTGACTCGGCCGTGGTTATTTCTGTGGTTATGAACACAAATTGTGACGCCTCAATAACTGATATAATGGCCAGTAAATAATCTTGCATTGGTGCTTCCACTATAAAAACGCTGTTTTGAAATTTTGAAGACAATATATATTTTTTTTGCTTGCGATAAACTCGGGTGAACGGTTTCTTATAAAGGGTCAAAGGTATCGCGAACACCTTCGATTCGAAATAATTTTGGCGTCATGATAGTAAGCACGATCTTTACAACTTCTGTGCAAATATAAAATACCCCGCGACGTTAAGTATTGTATTGTTAGGGTTAGTATTACATTTAGGTTAGGCACAGTTGGTGGGATATTCTATAATTATTCATTCTATAGTTATTCCACAATTTCAATACAATCTCAGTAACAAATGAAAAAGCAATGAATTGATCATAAGTTCATATGGTTCAAACGAAGCTTGTAAAGATTTTTTACAATCGTCAAAACGATTGGTAATACGTAGTTTTAAAATAATATAAGAGTTTATGCATTGCTAGCATGCGATATCAATAATTTCAATGAGATTCATACGCAACAAACACAAATAATGTCTATTTAATAGCGCAAGTCGGAATACTAGTACCCGAAAAATATTCACACGATATTCTAAGGTATGTCCGAATATCAGGTGCGTTTTATTCCGAGGTATTCACATCTGAATACTATTAATATTCAGGGGATATTCGATTCGCTTAGAATACGTATGAATACGCCAGAATACTGGCCGTATTCTAACTAATATTCACAAGTATTCACATTAACATATTCGCTTTTACATGCAGTGTTTACTTAGGCAATTACAGATCTCTTGCACCAGGTCATCCTCAATATTCATTCCTTTCCCTCCACTCCAATTTGTGAAGACCCCATTTGAACTCATCAGCTTGTTTTTTTTTGGCAGCATAACTTCCATTTGTGCAATCGATTGGAACATTTCAATTGCATACTTACTATATTGCCCAAGTGATTTAAAAATTGCGAGAAGCAATTTTTGGTTTATCAAATTTCGGTCTCCATCTCCTTCTGCTGCAGTGTCCTTCATCTGAAGGACAACAAGTGTGAGATATATGAAACAAAGTGCATAGTTTTTCACAAAGTCATCACCTTCGTTGCCTGATAGAGATTGAAAAACATAACTGTCAACAAATTTTCCAATGGCATTGTCAAAATAGTCTTTCTTTACTGTGTCCTCCATACGACTTACACTGCCCAGAAATGTATTCTTATAATTGGCATGTCATCAACTGGCGTCATACCAAAAAAGTGCAGAAGTGCTGATACAATATAAGCTTTTCCAACACATAGGAAAAGTTCCTAACTACCTTCATATGAATCTAATACTTTTGCAGGTGTTGCATTTTTCCTGTTATACCTTTCCCTGAAATACTTCAAAGTTCCTTTTTCACTTGATGATTGCGCCTTGTGAAGGAGATGGTAGCCATATTGGAGTAAGGAAGCTTTTGTGTGCCACATTGCATGTTTATAAGGTGAACAGTGTTCAAATCTATCGGCTGGTTTGTGTGCACCAGCAAGAAGAGATGTTGCACCATCAAATCTCACCCGGGTTAGCTGATCACCACCAAAGGAAACAGTCACACCTTTGTTCTGAAGAACCTTGACTGGGTGGGTTGAGTGGGTCTGTTTGGCGTGTTGCAGAAGTTGGCTGGACAGGGTTAGATGGATTGGTATCTGTAAAAGTTGAATGTGGATTTGATTGATCAGTTGGACAATGTGATGAGGTTGGTTCACTTTGATCTCCAGTAGTACTTTGACTGGATTATTTGAGCTGACCAGCTTTCTCATAAATCTCGTTTATCCACTTCTCGTATGATCGTAAGATCACAACACAGTCATCATATTTCTTCTCGTCTGCATTGATGATTGGAAGTGGAATAATTGTTGATGGTGCTGACATTTCAGATGTAAACCTATGTTCAATATGCTCGGGGATAACTTTCTCGAGGAACTTGAATTTTTTTGCAAAATTGAGTGCATATTCTCCCAACCAAAACCTTGAAATTCTCTCTAAGAATTTGTATCTCGTTTCTTTCTAATGTAAATAAGTTACGAGGGCAAGTCAGGATATCATTAAGAGGGCTAGTATTCTCCAAAGCTGAAAAACTTACACGGTTGACGTACAAGTTCGATGCAAATAGATGAAGGTCTTGATTCTGTGCTGTTGAGCGCATGTGATGAGCACGGATCATCATGTCCCAATTGTCGCCAGTACCTCTCAAAGTCTTCTTCTCTTTGACTGCTTCAATTACCTTATCCATAAAATCTCCACCAATCAATTGAAGAAGGACGTCTCTATTTGAATACGTTTGTACAATTCCCAACTTGTGAAATTGTTCATGTTATTGGAAGCAGTTAGGCAATTTATATAAAATACACAGTCTTAGTGATAGAGTTGCAATGTGTATTTGTACAGCTGCTAATTTGATGCGTTTTTATGTGAGCACGACTGTGTAAACCGAATTCAATAATTATTTTATTATTCACATCCCCAAAATGCTATGAAATTTTATAACCAAAATGCTATTAAATTTTATTTATTTTAAGATTGCTTATTCTAGATCGTAGAAACTATTATTTGGAGATATATGTCATAATTACAGAATACCAATATTTATGCGTAGATGTGACGTCATAATTGCAGATACCAGGAATTATCTGTAGGTCACTAACCAATCAAAATGGAAATTGTATACAGTGAATAATAATAAAAATTATTATAATTTAGTGTGGTTATGTTACCAGGAAGTTTCATTGTAGTGGTAGTATGTTGCACTGGTAAAAATCTTTATTTACAGTTTAAAAAACGTAAAATATAAATCAAGCTTTCGGACTAAGCGTCCATCGTCAGGATTAAAATGGCAAAAATGATTAGTCGCTTAAATACTATTTACATGTCAATGACCTAACTAAAATATTAGGTTTTGTGAATAATTAGACTAAAAGACAAAAGAGTCATAATAGAGTCATATAAGCGTAATATAGAGTCAACAAAAGAGCCATAATAAGACACTGGATAAAAGAGTCATAATAGCGTATTATAGCGTCAACAAAGCATTATTTAGTCTTTATCAATTAGCGTTCTAAAAACTTCCGGCAATGTTCTGCCATTGTCTCTATTGGCAATGGCACTCTTCTCATTTTCCATAATCCAGGCTTCCTTCTATTTTCTATGCGACCACCGACTTTCCTTACATACTACCTTGGTATCATCCCACACAATGCGATGATCATTGTCAACTACATGTTCTGCCAAAGCTGAGTTTTCCACCTTCCCATTCTTTACACTTGCATGATGTTCTTTTATTATTGTTCCTACTTCACGACCCGTTTCACCAATATATTTAACATCACAATCCTGGCAAGGGATGGGGTAAACGACGCCTGTTTGATCTAAGTGAGGTAACTTATCTTTGGGCTTCATTGAATAATTTCTAAGCGTTGAAACCGGTCTTATTGCAACATTAATATTATGTATCTCTAATACTCTCTTTATTTTCTC